TAGAAGCTCAACCACTATTGGCACTTCCCCAAACTGTACTCCAAAACTGTGCTCACTTTAGAATCCAAAGTGCATATCCTGAAAACAATTGTGTTTTAAGTCACATCAGTTGTGATTTCACTATAAGTGTAGTGTAATCATTGGATATTATAACCATGAAGTGAAAATAGTACACTAGACTATTGAAAAAATATCCTTGTTTGGATCAATTGATAGACTTGAACTCTTCATTCCTCATTTAAAAATAATAATATTAATAATATTAAACAACAACAACACTGCATGACCTCTCAAGATCTGAAACGAAATGAAAATAAATAGTAGCTTAGGTCTGTTTTAGTGAGGAAAAACATGAACCTGCTTTACGTGTTCCTTGCCCCGCTATGAGACATGTTCTCTGTGTTTGGTATGGACGGCTTTTTAAATTTCTTAAGAACCATCAAATGATGGAGGAAAGAGGTTTCTGATAATGATACTTTTCATCTCTTAATGTATCCTCCCTTATGTAACCAGAGTTGGCTATAATCCTTTGTCTTTTACTTTGACATGTAGGACAAAACCCAGCCAAGCTGTTTTGAGTTTTTGCTAAATGACATAGTGCACCAAAAAAAAAACCACAACAAAAAAACTTGGGCTAGCCAATTTCAAACAGCCACGCAATAATTCACTTGCAAGAAAAATACTAAAGGATAGTTGCTAAAAATGAGGACATTAGCATAAAAACATTGATGGCAAGTATTAAAGGTATGTGCAGCACCTGAAACATTACCCTTAATTTGAGAAGCACGGTGCATTTTTTATTAAATCTATATTGCCATTCAGCACTCTGGGTTTTCTTTGTAGAGGCCATGTAGGGCAGTTACTCTGACAGTGGAGATAAGACGATGGTATCAAATTGAAAATGTGTAGGTATTGTCAAAATACAAAAACCAAAATAAACACAACTTTGGTAATATGTCAGTCTTCCTCCCTAGGTATTGCGTGAGCTGCTGTGATGTCAGAGAGACCATAGCTGGGCAACACAGAATCTGTTCTCAAATGTAATCTTAGGATATCCTGTGAATTGCATATATCATGCCAGCTGTGTTATGTGTGGTGTAGTGGATCGAGAAATGGACTTTGACCATGATTCCTAGGTTCACGATGCTTACAAAGTGAACTTGAGCCAGTCACACATTCAGGTGTGCAGTTTTACGTTGTTGATTTGTACATCTTCATCACTGACTTGCAGTGCCTTCCAGGAGCTATGATGGGTACAACGTCTGTGGCCCCTGGACAGAGATGCCCTGGTCTCAGTCCACCCTACCTTACAGGGTGGATTTGAGGATGACATGCACACCATCATGAGTCCCTTAGAGCAATGCACTAATTAAATAAACAGTGATTGGTGGTTTCTTGACTAGTTCCTTTTTTCAGCCCGATTGCCATGCCCACTTTTTATGCCTCTTCATGCACTGTTATTGAGAGAATAAACATAATGAGAGAAAGAAACACCCCTGAATATGTTGTTTTGCTCTTTGTGGACCTGACTATATTACTTTGTGTCTAAATGTAAAGAAAGCTCCCGACAGTCGTGATGTATTAAATTATAACTGAGAACTAATTCAAGGATCAAAGATGCTCTTTGGGAGAGATCACTTTACTGGTAGGAAAAATCATTACCTTTTTCCCAGGCTCATATATTTGTACTATATGTCTTGGAAATATCATTCCTCACAGTTTCTGAATCTTGATGTTTAATTTAACACAAAGGTCTTTGAGCAGCTCAATGGGAGGCTTTTGCTGGCAGAGTCTCATAGAAGAAAATTGAAATGTACATGTTTTTTCTCATGTATCAAAGAAGTGCAAGAATCTAAACTGACATTTTACATCAAATGAATTATGAACTGTGTACTGTGTACCTAAGGGAACAACAAGCAAATTAGATTTTTGTTAAGGGGGGAAGAGAAGCCAAAATAATAAAAAATAGGTTTTAGCTGAACCTGACATGCAATGCAGTATTCTTTGTACACTAGAGAATATAGATTTCTTCAAAGAGCCAATACTTTGAATTCTTTAGACATATTGTGAACAAGACAACGAGTCAGTTCTGGTATGCTGCAGCTGGAACATTGAACTTTGCTACTATTGCTTCTTCATTGGTTTTGACTCATGATTGTGCTGGAATGCTTATGTTGACATGTTATGCTATTAATTTAGTCGGCCACAGGTCCACTGGATCTTAAACCAACCAAAATGCAACATAAGTAGCTCTCTGCCTTTCTTGGGCGCAAGGCCTGTTCAGTGTTCCTGGCTCTGGGATGGTTTCATAAGATCTTGTGGGACCATCAGAGTTTCCGCGAGATCTCAAATGAGCATCCCTAGCCTCCCAGAGCCCTTGATCCTGAGCTGTATGAGGCTTTATAGGTTGAAAGAGATGTAGGGTAGAAACCTTGATTATTTTTATAAATGCATGAAAAGGGAAGTCATTCCAGATTTCTGAGCTTTCCAAGCCTCTTGTCCTCTTTTTCTTGCCATGTTGGGAAGATAAAGCTGTTTAACATATGACTACCGAATTATATATTCATGTGTGTGGTGATTGAATTATTCTTGAAGCTATGTGTCCTTAACAAGAGGTCAATAATACATGACAGCCTACAAAGCAACTATAGGTACCAATGGCTGTGAAAAGGAATTTATTCATTCATAGATTTAGATTAGCATGTGATATCCATTTGTTTGTTTATTCCTTGTTTTGGTAGCTCATTATTCTATGACAGTTATTGGCTGGGTATCTTTTTAAACAACATGACATATACCGGTAATTGGCTTTCCTGGACAGCAATAGATTCCATCTAGTGTCTCCCTGACACGTATTTATAATCATTAATCAGTCAACTAATTGCTTATTGGCATTCTTTTATTCTTTGCATAGTTTTAGCAGAAGTTCAGCTTGAGGATGATAAACTTGCAAAGATACTTGTAAAGATGATTTACCGTGTGTTCCTTTTAACTGTCCCTTTAAAGCAGTGGCTAGATGTTCAGCTACAACTCCTGTCACCCCAGACCCCACTCCAGGCCCAGATATTGGGCCTTGCTGGTTGGTGCTGATGGGAGTTGGAGTCCAGTAAACATCTTGAGGGTCACAGACTCCTTATCCTTAGCATGGAGTGTGAGCCAATTGGCTAAGCAATGTGAGTGGGTCAGACCCTGTGACTAGGCAAAACTTTAACTAACACCAGAGTTCAAATTACAAAAACAGAGTTATTTAAATATTTTTAAGAGAGCTGAAGAAATAAGCTATTTTAAAAGAAAGAAAACATATTCATTGAGATCTAAGGGAGACTTGGTTACTAAACAAAATTTCTTTAGCAGATATGAAGGCATTCAAAGGAAAGACAAGGAGCAAACCCACCCTATTTAATCTCTGGTGATTCTGCAAAGGGCTGCCCAGCAGGAAGAGGCTCAACCAAACAGGAAGCCAGCTGCCTTTGACACCCCCGGGGTTCATTATGTAGAAGGAGGGTCCAGTGAGGTGGGATAAGAGATATTAATGGAACCAGCCCCCTCTTGGTTTTTTTCTTGTCAGACCAGGTTGCAGGGGGAGGTGTGAGGTCAGTACTTTGGATGTGACTTAATCTTTATCTTGGTTAATGTCATGAAGAGTTTCTGAGCCCAGGCTGGGTTGGCGAAGGCTATCTTCAAGAGACATAGATGGGTGGAGGCTTTTTGATATAGGGTGCAATTCAGTTTTGTAATACTTTTCATTCTTGTGCTTCTTCTTTGTAATTACACCATGCCATTTCACCATGCTAATTGAGCATTTACTGGACAAGATGTGTTGATTCAGTAAGTTACTGGTGGAGTGGTTGCCCCTTGAGGGCTATATTAAACCTTGAGCAGAGCATTTTGAGTAGCATTGCTTGTTAGAGCCAATATATCACCCTGATAGGTACATGGCTCTTCTGTTAAGAATGTGGCAGAGAAATTATTGCTGTCTTCTAATTATTGCTTAGATACTAAGCAATTCCTTGGAGGAGAAGTTGGGACTAAAGAGATGAAAGAGGAAAATGTTTCCTGAAACACTCCTATTATTAAATATATGTGAAATGCTTTATTTTTGAATAATCAGTGGGCATTTGATATATGGGTGCAGGTGATTAGTTGCTTGGGAAGTTTAATGATCACCATGTGGACAGTTTCACAGAACACCTTTTTTTATTACTGCTCAACAAGAGACTCCAACAGAAGTGCTTTGATCCTTTTGAGTGCAATTTTGCATTTTTTTATGTTTTCAGAAATTATGTGTAAATTATATGTAACTCTTAATGCAATAGGACTATCCCACGTTGACCAGCATGTAAACAAGACCTCTGTAGTCCATACTTAACTCTGCTTGGATTTACATGGAAATAAGTTGCCTTTAATGGAAGGATTTGAAGTTTTTTTTTATTGCAGTTTCCCAAATATGTTGTCAGATTTGGAGTAGGGCTGGAGTCTGACTTATATTGCTGTGCCCAACATTTTAAATGGTATGTTGTGTGATTTGTATTGCTTATAGTTCTAAGTGTTGGATCGTATTTTGCATTCTTAATACATTTGTAAAATGCCCAGAATATTTAGTTGATGGATAAGAAAGAAAGAAAGAAGAAGAGATAGATAGATGGAAAGAACGAAAGAAAGAAAGAAAGAAAGAAAGAAAGAAAGAAAGAAAGAAAGAAAGGTGACTTGAACCTGTGGATTGCCAACTCTCTTTCTGTTTGAGAGTGTTTCTTCTTAAATCCTGTTGGTGTTGGGGGAATAGCATGATAATGGCATTGCAATGGAAAGCCTATAGTACAATAGTGCAATAATGAAGAGGGGGGAAGAAGATGTTGAATTAAATGGACCATGCTTACATTGCTTTTGATCCTCAGAAACAGGTTTTGTTTGTTTGTTTTAGTGCATGGAGCATTTTGATTCCATCCAGCATATGTTCTCCACATTTTTCTCTGCTCTAATTCATCCATGTTTTTCGACAGCTCCAGATGGCATGTTGCCTCCAAGGCTTTCATCTGCCACACCGACCAGTCTTCAGGTTGTCTGGTCTACACCAGTTCGCAACAATGCTCCAGGCTTACCCAGCTACCGACTCCAAATGAGGCCTAAGCACTCCCCAGAAGATAGACTAGAGTAAGCAAATAATAAAATCTATTCAACATACTGAAGAAATGTAAAATGATCTGCAGAGTAGCATTTCTGTACATATGTAATGTGTCCCACCTTCATTTTGTTTCCTATTTTCTTTTTTAAAATGTATTTTTTCCCTTTAGATTGCTTTCTGAACCTTCAGCTTCATTAACCCATTTAGTCACAGAACTGCAGCCGTACACATCATATGAAATGAGGGTTATCGCCTGCAATGGATACGGTGATACATACAGCAACTGGACTCTAATGATTACAGCAGAGGACAGTAAGTAGTTTGTGGAACTGCAGAGTGCATTTCCGCTTAAGTAAATGCCCACAAGTACAGCATATAAGACATAATCATATCTGATTTAATGATAATAGCATTTTTCAAGATTCATCACTCAGCGCTCTTAAGCAGGTTAAGACCACAATCCTAAACACACTTATCCAGTGGTGAAATCAATGGAATATTGAAAAGCCAGATAAACATGCATTAATTGCAGAAATTTGCTCCTATAATTTTGTTCGGTGATCATACTGATCTGCAGCAGATGTGTTGTTTCTAAAAAAATTACTTTGGCTTTTCATTTATCTAATGAAGCAGTATTTTAAAACTCGAAGTTCTGTTGGAAGCAGTATTTTTTTGGGGGGGGGGACACTTGGGATGGCGGCAACACTTGGTGGGAACAGGATGTTGGTGTAGATGAGCCCTTAGCCTAATCTATCATTGCTCTTCTTATGTACCACCAAGAGCTACTCAGACCCTGGTGCCTGGAGCTTTGTTTGTTTGCTTTTAATGCACATAGAATGAAAGTTGGATGCAGGAAAGCTGCATCCTTGATGGAATCTGCATCCAATGTTTGCCTTGTTTCATGATAAAGCCAGACCTAGGTGGAATCTACACACCTATAAAAAAAACACTGCGAAAATGCTTTTTTAAAAAGCGTTTTGAAAAATACATTGAATTTGGCATAGTTCACTGTCGCCATCTAGTGTCACACTTGTATGTTGCATTTTATAACACATTTAAAATGTTTTATTTGCAGCCGAGTAGCTGAGTCCCAAGATGGATTTCACACTTTCCTCACCCCTAACCAGTGTCTTTAACATGTAGAAAGCCAATGAATAAAGCTTTTTCCCGCATGGCAATGCATCTTTACCTGCTGTATTCAGTCTGCTAAGCAGCTCTTTAAATACAAGAACTCTGCCAGAAGCCACATTTGGGTGTGGGACTTCTTTATTACTTTAACTATTTCCCGTAACCTTAGAACCAGCAGTTGGTTAGAACTGATAACACTTCCTGAACAACTCCCCATTTTGGTTGTATTTATGATACCACCACTGAGATATCCTCTAAAACTGGTATATTGTGCTTTACTGATGTGTTTTCCTCACCCTCCGAAAACATGCAACTCTCATTGCGTTTAATATTTAATATTCTCTTTCTATTGCCCGCTATATGTGTTTGGACTCTACTGTCCCCACGGGTGTCCATGAGAGGTTAATTGGCTACCCCACTTCACCCCAGTCTGTACCAGTAAGTAAGTAAACACTCGTTTCTAGTCAGGCGATTAGAAAAGGTTAATGATAATTTTGTACCATTCTTTAGAAAGTAGAGACTGAACTTTTGAAGCAGATGAGCAAAATAGCCTCCCATAAAAGATAATTTAATTTGCCAAAATGAAACTACCTTCCAGTATTAATGCTGTAATGAAATGGCTTGAAGAATGAATCAAAGACATTAAGGGAAGTCATATGCCCCTCCCCCCCTCCACTCCTCGTATTCTGTAGTTCGCTCTATAAACAATTCCTTCCGAGTAAAAAGAGTTTATTATTTTATTTTCAGCATTGGCAGGCTAAGCTGTGTTGCTGTCATCCTCTTGCAGTCTTCCTTCCAGTGACAACCACATTGACAACATGTTATATTCCACATTGATTTTACAGTTAAGGAGCTGATTGTGATATATAGAGATTTTAAGAATTCAGCTGAGAGGCTGACTTTTGCCTTTTATCATTCCATTAAAATTTTATAACCATCTTTTTCATGTCATTTCACCCATGAATTCTTACTTTAGAAAGTGATAGCTACTGCTGTGAGCATAACTTTTTCTCATGTTCAGAGCTTTTTATTGTATTAGCAAACTACCCCAATTATAGTTAATACTCGTGTTTTACATAATTGCGCTGACCCTTTCAGCCAAGCAGGACCATGCTAGTTGGGGGTGTGTGTGTGTGTGTGCGTGTGTGTGTGTGTGTGTGTGTGTGTGCGTGTTAAAAATGATTCTGCTTGTCACTTAAATGGGAAGTACTCTGCAAGAGTCTTGGGTACCACGATTTAACACTTCTCTATCCAGAGGGGCCAATTAAACAGCTCTCCAAAGTCTTGTTTGAATTGAGTGAGTTTTAAAGGTCTGCCTTTTTAAAGAGCTGCAGAGAGAGCATATGGAAAGACATCCCTTTAAAAAAAAAAAGTGGGGGTGGGGAGGGAGAGTAGAAAATTGAAGTTAAGCATCTCTTCTCATATGTTATAGCAGATAATGTTAAGAGGGCTATGTCTAAACTCTGCAGGGGTTTGTAACACAAGTTCATCTCATTATCCCAAATGTTTCACCTATAATGCCAGCAATGTACTCAGTAGGGATGAAAGGCTTATTCCTCTTATCGCAAGGGAGAACAAACTGCTTGATTATTTTCCTCCTGCAGATACCCACAGTTTGATTTTTCAGATATATGTATAATTAGAAAAATTGCTGATGACCAGCCCTGAAAAAATCTTCAAAGAGCTTTGCGTTTATTTAAGATGCATATCCAAAAGTCACCATGTCTTTTATTTAATATGCCTTAAATGTGGCATTTCCCCCCTCCTGTGTTCTTATCATCCTAAAAAAAAAAAAATGTAGCTTCAACAATATTAAATCTATATACCTTTGCTGGCACTGTAAATATTCAAAATACCATTCTCCCGCCCTCCCAGTTATGAATATAAAAGTTCAAATTCTGATTTAAATTAAATGAGTGCCAAAATTGGTTGGGTTTCAGTAGCACACTGCATCTGTTGTGCATGTTGTTTGTTCTATAGTCTTTTGAAATGTGAAATAACCCTGAAATAAAATATCATTTTTTAAGGCTGTTGCAGATCAGTTCCCATTTAAGTGACAATCAGAATCAGAGCAACTTCTTTATATAAATTTATAAGCATGAGTAAAAGTGCAACTGGTACCAGGAAGAGAACTTAGGGTGATTTATCAGCAATTAAACAGACCTCCTGCAACAATACTTCATGCCAAAATTATTGTTCTTTCTTCCTTATACTCTCATCATATTTTGTTTAATAATGGCCCAAACTGGCTTTTCTTCCTCCTGTACACTAACAAGCACTATTAATATGCTTTCAGTGGGCAGTAAATAGTGGCTGCATGTGGAATATCTCCTGGTTCTAATATGATACGGAACGTAACTCAATCATTGACACTCAATTAAAAAAAATGTGACCCCTTTTGATTCTCTGAAACTTTTAAAAAAGCCTTCAACAAACCAAAAGCTGTTTTAAACAATTACTGTACCCAAGTATATCTTTTTTAAAGATTTTCAATAAAATCTAATGTTCACAGAAAATGTCATAAATGTCAAAATTGCTGTGGGCAGAATAGGTGGATATAGTATTTTCTTGATCTGCTGTAGCAATTTATAGATTTCAGGACGTGGTTTATAAGAATGCTAAATGTTCTGGAATTACAGCTGTTACTGATCAGTGATTGAGCCAGATTTGTGTTATTGCACCATGTTCTTGCTTGTACCTAGAGAGCAGTAAAGCCTCAATATAATAAAAAGCACCTGCATTTTAAATGAAATTTCAATTGAAAAACTTAACAACCCTTCAAATTGCAGAATTTAACGCAGCCCAGTAAAGCTTAAATAACACTTTGCCTCCACAGGCTGAGGGTTTTTGCATTCAAGGTGACTTGATTGTGTCGCATGGCGAAATTATTTACAATTAAGGGATTTCTCTGGAGGGGGCTGCAGAGTATTTGCTGTTCCACAACACCTATGCAGGCATATGGTCGGTCTTTTTCAGTATTCATGGAGGCTCCTGAACCTTTATGATAATTGAATCAGTTAGAGTGCTGAGTGGAGCAAGCATAAAACCTGTTAACCTAAAGGTCAGATCTGTGCATTGTTTATTTATCAGTAGGTGAAAGAGCTAAATCGGCAGCTTCTGTCACAGTCACAGTAAAAAATCACCTGTAATATTAACAGGGAGTAGATAAATTGCAAAAAAGGGATTAGAATGATAAACAGAAGAGAGCAAAATATTGCATATATAATGAGAGTTGCAGCAGTGGCTTTTACTGGGCTATAAAATGCATAGGCTTGTTAAGACAGCCTTATGGGGGTAATTAGGAGCATGCTCTAGAAAAATGGTAACAGAAGCTAGAACTGTGGTTCTGAATGGCCTTCGCAGTTCTGAATTGCCTTTGCAAGAATTTAGTTGCCAACACAGTAACACTCCACTATTGATGGTTAGGTATGTGCATTGGTGAGGCAGTTTTGTGTAGTGGGTAGAGTGCTGGACAGTGGACACTTAGGTTCATTGGTCCGATTGGCTGTTAAGTTCACTAGCTCGCTTTTGGCAAGTCATTATCTCTTAGCCTAACACATGTCCCAGCACTATTGCTAGTTTAAGGCCATTAGAGGATAGATACCTGACAGATCAGACCAAAGGTTGTTCTGGGGTGGACAACATTGGTTGTACCATTAGACCAGTGTTTCCCAACCTTGCGCCTCCAGCTGTTTTTGAACTACAATTCCCATCATCCCTGACCACTGGTCTTGCTAGCTAGGGATGATGGGAGTTGTAGTCCAAAAACAGCTGGAGGCCCAAGGTTGGGAAACACTGCATTAGACAGAGTGAGGACTCTGGCAGCAGTTGCCTGGGTGAGGAAAGTGATGAAGTATCATACCCCGCAAGTGCCCCAGAAAAACTGGGACAGCCCTTTATTTTCGTATGATAGCACAGCAGCCATTTTGGGTGCTATGATCTTGAATGATTTCTCACCGAGTTCTCACTCTGAAAAAGCACCCACAATCCTGGGTGGCACTGCCAAAGTGTGCTCTTGGGCACCTGAAAAAGTGCAACTTTTGGGCTCTGTGATCTTGCTCAGGTAATGTGACTCATGCAAGAGCACAGCCAGGAAGATGCACACCCTGGTTTGGGGACTTGGCATGTTGGAGTGTATGGGTATCGAAAGACAGAGCTATTGTAACATGGATTCTGATCTGTCCCCTTTAAGCTAATCTGCTCCCCTCATGTTCAGTGAGGCGTATTGTCCCTTCACCAGTGTTGAAGTAAAATTAAAATGCCAGTCCAATCAACTTCTTTGCATTGAAGGGCCAAGGCAGGTTTGTGTGTCTTGTTCTTTGTTTCAGACATCACATTATCCTGAACTAGCCCTTGGGGTAGGGCACCTTTTTCAGCCTGAGTTATTAATCACCCTTTTTCTCATTTTGTGTTACAGAACCAGGCCCTATGGATCCACCACTTCTATTGAATGTTAAATCCAGAGAAGCAACTATCTCCTGGCAGCATCCATCAAAGCCAAATGGCATCATCACCCACTACAACATTTACCCAAATGGCCAGTTGCACACTACTATTCCAGGAACCAGATCTAAATTCACTGTACATTCCTTGCGCCCTTTCACAGTTTATCACTTTCAAGTAGAAGGTTGTACTTCCAAAGGATGCTCTCTTTCCCCCGAGACAGCGCCCATAAAGACCCTTCCTGATGCACCTGAAGATATCCCCGCTCCAGAGCTCTATTCGGACACACCGACGTCTGTGCTAATATCATGGCAGCTGCCTCTTCATCCAAATGGGCAGGTGGAAAACTTTATAATAGAAAGGAGAGTGAAGGGAACAGAACAAGTATCCACAGTTGCCACCTTGCCCTTCAATTATTCAAGGAGTTTCCTGGACCAGAGTGCTGCCCTTAGCCCTTGGGTGAAATATGAATACAGATTATTGGCAAGTACTTTCAAAGGAGGCATTAATAGTAGTGCATGGGCAGAAGTTATCACTAGGCCCTCGAGACCTGCGGGCATCCAACCTCCTGAGGTGCAAGCATTGGGACCAGATATCGCACAGGTTTGTTGAGTTTCATTTTTGTGAATGCCATTGCACATTATCACTAAAATCACCAGAGGTAAATTCTAGCTTATGTTTAGAGAGTTTACTGCACTGCATGCAGTGTACTGTGTACAAGAGTAGCTTCCATAGACCTGCACCAGGACCTGCATACTGTCTCATACCACAGCTACCTTTCCTTGACTTTTTAGTGTTTTCTGGTGGTCACAAAGATAGCCCATGTGGTCTCCATGTCTCCCTAATCGGTTTCACTCCAGCTAGTCATTCCCATATTCCCTATCCCAGACATACCGATGGGTCTGAGACCCTGGGCATAACTGCTACCTTATTTCATGTGTAGCCACCATGGCAGGAGTGGGGGGATTTGTGTCCCTCCTGATGCTGTTGGGATACAGCTCCCTCCATGCCTGACTACTAGCCATTCTTGCTGGGGCCGATGGGAGTCCAACATCTAGAGGGACCCAGGTTCCTTGAACATGCCTTATCGTATACACCACACACTTATTAATTGACTGAGATTCTGTGGATTAGTAATTTTTTTTTAATCCCAAATTAGCAGAAATCCAGCCTGTTCCTTATTGACTGAGAGTATGGTCATTTATGCCTTCATGGGGACTCTGTTATTTCAGTTAGTAACCTCAGAATCAGGGTGGACTGTGTGCTACTTTCTTGGGTACGGATCATCAGCCCCTGCAGTTGGTTGGTAGTATAAAACCTCTGGGTTGTTCAGGCTGTTGGGTGTATTTTAATGCCTTGCCTTCTGCCTTCACTTGGTATCTTCTGCATGCAGCACTTCAGGTTCCCTCCTTAGCTGTTCTAGCACTTCGCTATTTCCTAGTTTCAGATTCTTGAGCTTCCAGATCAAACTACAGTGGTACCCCACAAGACGAACGCCTCGCAAGACGGAAAACCCGCTAGACAAAAGGGTTTTCCGTTTTGGAGGCGCTTCGCAAAACGAATTTCACTATGGGCTTGCTTCGCAAGACGAAAGCCCATAGGGAAATCTCCGGGGACCTCTTTTAAATGCTAGGGGTGGGGAGCAAAGCCTTTTCCCCCCCTCCGGCCTTCAGAAGAGGTCCAGGAAGGCTGGCGGGGCCGAAAGGCTTGCTCCCCACCGCCAGCATATTTAAAAGCGTCCGGATAGCAGTAGGAAGCGCTTCCCGCTATCGCGGACCGGCTTTTGAAGGCAGGAGAGTCCGCGAACCTGGGGCGCTGAGATCAGCGCGCGCAGGCTTCGGCATGCTGGCAACTCTCCACAAGCAGCGGCAGCACTGCCGCTGCTTGCGGAGAGGTCCGCGAAGCCTTGGCCGCTGATCTCAGCCGAAGGCTTGCGGGCGCGGGCAAAGCATCTCCCAATGCAGCCGAGCCCTGCCGCTGCTTCGAAGAGGTCCCGAAGCCTGCCGGCTTCTGAAGGCAGGGCGGGGGCAAAATGTCTTTTCGCCCCCGCCCTCCCGGCCGGTCTACAAAGGAGGGTCCCGCGATCCCCGGACTTTTAAAGCGCAGGGGGGACAAAAGTTTTTCCCCCCCCCAGCCTTCCAGGGCTTAGGGGCTTTTAAATCGCCCCGGACAGCGGAGAAGTCCTCCGCTGTCCCGGGGCGATTTTAAAATGCCGCCCGCCAGCATTTTAAGATCGCCCCGGACAGCGGAGAAGCCCTCCGCTGTCCCGGGGTTTTTTAAAATGCTGGGGGTGGGAAGAAAAGCCCTTGTCCCCCCCCCCCAGCCTTCAGAAGAGGTCGGGGGACAGACTGTCCCCGGACCTGGTCTGAAGTCGGTTTCCCTAGGAACGCATTAATTGATTTTCAATGCATTCCTATGGGAAACCGTGCATCGCAAGACGAAAAACTCGCAAGAAGAAAAAACTTGCGGAACGAATTAATTTCGTCTTGCGAGGCACCACTGTATTAATATCTCAGGGCTGCAAGTGGGAGAGCACCCTCCAAGCCTGTTTTAGATATGGCTATTGTTTGCCCTTGCTGGACTCTGCCAGGGCTGCTCTGCTGAAACTTCTCTTTGGCATTTGTCCGTAAAGGGTAAAGGGACCCCTGACCATTAGGTCCAGTGGTGGCCGACTCTGGGGTTGCAGTGCTCATCTCGCTTTATTGGCCGAGGGAGCCGGTGTACAGCTTCCGGGTCATGTGGCCAGCATGACTAAGCCGCTTCTGGCGAACCAGAGCAGTGCACGGAAACGCTGTTTACCTTCCCGCCGGAGCGGTACCTATTTATCTACTTGCACTTTGACGTGCTTTTGAACTGCTAGGATGGCAGGAGCAGGGACCAAGCAACGGGAGCTCACCCCGTTGTGGGGATTCGAACCGCCGACCTTCTGATAGGCAAGTCCTAGGCTCTGTGCTTTAACCCACAGTGCGACTCGCGTCCCGGCATTTGTCCGTATTCAGCATTAAAAAGGTAAAGGGACCCCTGACCATTAGGTCCAGTCGTGACCGACTCTGGGGTTGCGGTGCTCATTTTGCTTTATCGGCCGAGGGAGCCGGCCACTTCTATACCAGGAAAAAGTCATGGGTAGGGAACCTGTGGCCCTCCAGATATTGCCATCCCTGACCATTGGTTATACAGGCTGGAACTAAAGGGAGCTGTGGTTCACTGAAACTCAGAGGGCCACCAGTTCTCCACTCCTGGGTTAGATGTGTTAATTTAGTGTTTAACCTCAAACCAACAACATCTCAGCCTATTCCTGTCCTCCCATCTATAATACTCTGTTCTTTATTATGCTGTTGAAATGCTTCCAGTTTTCTCTCACACACCTGAAATACTTGGAATACTACTGCGGGGGCATTTAATTTTAATCCCAGAGCCAGACTAAAATGTGTACGATACAAAAGAGAGAGAGAACAAAAAATGAACAGCCCTACTCTTCTAGACATTATTAAAATGCTAATTGCTGTGAGTGTTAAATGTTCTGTGTTTTCAAATATGTGTCAAAATATCTGCTTTGTTTTAAATCTTTAAAGGAGTTAAAATCAATGTGTAAGTTGACTAACTAAGGAAAGAGCAGCCTTAGAGCACTACCTAGGAAATTTTCAATTATTCACATCCTTCATTTGGGAATGAACTCTAGAGGACAGGATAACTACCATTGTTTTGGCTTGCATACAAACTTCATTCAAGGGAAATTAGTGTAACCAAACAAGAGGGATTTTTGTAGCTTAGAAGCCTCTTTTGTGTAAATACACACATGCTTCCATGGATTCAGTCTTGTACTAGTGCCAAAAGGCATCGGTACAGTAGCTTGCTCACTAGAGCACAAAACAAAGGACGTTTGCATAAGTCTAGAGACTAGCCACTTAAATTATTGGTGCTATTTATGGTATGGTTAGTCCTCTTGAATAATGAGAGTGCATGTAGATACTCAGTTTATGCTAAACAATTTGAATATATGGATAGAAACAAGTCAAATGATAAAATCTAGAACCACATTTTGAAATATTGATAAGCAGGTCTATATCTAAAATGGTGAAAATGCTGCAGACTTTTTGAAATGTATTGCACCCATATCACTGCCCAAATGAACTCAACCTGTAGTTGCAAAGGTAAGCATAATATGTAATTTATTATAGACCAGGGTTTATTGTGATGCATGGAAAGAATACTTATACGAAAGTGGGTAGGAATACATCAAAACCATCTGATACAGTAAGTTGTGATACAGCAATTTGTGTGCATTTGACTAACATGCATTTAGTTTTACATGCTTAAATAAATAAATAAATGGGATGGAAATGGAGCAGGCATCGCGGGGGGGGGGGGGGATTTGACAAGCCCACCTGCCATTGAATCCATTGTGTTTTGACTCTATGTGATTTCTGCTTTATGTGCTATCCCTGGAATGTAACCCCCACATAAGTTGAGTCGCCTGTACATAGTAAGAAAATAGGAAAATTAGTATTTAAGACAAGAAGTCATATAACTACAATAAGAGATCAGAATGTGTGCATGTCTGTGTATCAAACTAACTGTATTAAAACCTGATTGAAACATTGGTAATACCTTGTAGAAACCGAGAATAAAGTGATGGTGATTAAATAATTCTTGCTTAATAAATCATGGTTTATTAAGCTGAGAATGAACACTCTGTCTGCAGTCTCTGTGCTCTATGTGAACATGCTTCAGCGCTAAGGGATATTGGACCACTCTGTTGGAAGTGGGAGCCAAATTCCCACTGTTCACCTGTTCATCCGAGGTCAGGAACAGAAACCACAGCTGTTGACAAAATGTGAAAAAGAGAAGAACATGACAGTGAAAATTGTTTAGAAATGATATTTACATTCCCACTATAACAATGGAAAATCTATATATTGTCATTGTTATCATTGTCAAGAACTTCAATTACACTTTTAAATGGATATAATCCTGTCTGTGTCTTATCTCTTCCGGGCTATTGTAATCTGTCTGTGGCAGAGCTTGAACTAAAGCTCTTGCCCTACTGTATCCAGCATGCCATATTGGCTCTGTCTATATAGGAAAAAAGGACAATGCAAGAAAAAATGAGTACATGCCCTGCTCACACAGCATCTCATACCCCTGCAGGGTATATATGGCACGTATCAGCTGTTGTGGAAACAGAACAGGTGTTGGACAGATGTGCTGATACAGCTCTACACTTATTTTGTACTGAGTATTTTAATAGTGAAGAAGCCATTTCATAGCAGCATGTGTGTTCAGTAGATTCTTCATCCCCTCCAGGTTCCCAATCCACAGGTCTCATACCTTGTATTTGTGACATATGGTGTTCATGTGCAGCAGTGACTTTCTGCATATGTACATCTTACTTTTTTGTTACATGCTTCTGTTGTATTATTTTAATTTAAAGCATAGCAGTATTTTTGAATGCATTATTTTAGATGATACTGTGATTTAACATTTTTGCAAGTTGCATTGAGTAGTGCATGAATGAATGAATGAATGAATGTGCTGCAGAAATGTGACATAGATTGTGTAATGCCGTAATAACACTTTAGACAAATGACAATTGAAAGGTAGCC